CACACACCAGTGCCTCTCCCCCCCCGCAGAATTACTCTGGGGCACACGCACATGGTGGCTCCCTTATCCACACACTAGGGTGACCAGACAGTAAATGTGAAAAATGGGGACATGGGGGGGGGGGGGAGGGGCAATAGGAGCTTATATAAGAAAAAGACCCAAAAATTGGGACTGTCCCTATAAAATCAGGACACCTGGACACCCTACCACACACTGACAGTCTCCTCTTCATCTGTCTCTTTACTCCCACTTAACTCCTGGTGCTGATTCCTGATAAAGCTTCAGGGTGGGTCCAGTTCTATAGCTGCCCGAGTGCCCCCTGCTGGTGGCAGTACAGTAGTACCGTATCTGTTGCATTCTCTACCCCCTGGAGGCTGTGCTGGCCCCAGCAAGCAGTGACCCGGAGGTTTTGGGGTGGAGGGTGATGTGAGCCCTTGTATGTGGGCATTCCCGGGGTTTGATGTCAGCAGTGGCAGGAAGGGTGGTGCTGGGAATATTGGGCCAGCAAAGCAGCAAGGGAAGGGAAATGGAGGGGACATGTCCCCTTACTCCGCATGGCTGTGCCGATGGTAGGAGGCCTCTTTCCACGTTTTGGAAAGTGAAGGTGCTCAGTGAGACGCCAGTATATGGGGGTTTGCCCACATATGGCCCTGAGCCAGTAGCCTAGCATCAGGCCTGCAGAGGTTCTGCAAGTCAAAGCTCTGCTGCATAGTGAAGTCAATAGAGATTTTTCTCCTCCTTGATAAAACATGTAAAATGTTATTTTAAAAATAAAATAATAGTATTTAAATCCCCCCCCCTTTGTTTAAAAACAACAAAATGAACAAGCAGTCAATAACCTGGATGTCTCCTGGAGAAGCCTCTGAAACTTGGAAACCCCCAAACTCTGCCTGAAACTGCTGCTCTTGAAACGTTTTATTTTTCACTGTAGGCTGCAGTGTCCATTCGTCCTCTCCCTTCCCCTCTCTGGCTGGCGTGGGCTGTGGGCAGGGAAGGGCTATTACCTTGTGCTGGGAAAGGAGCAGTGCAGTAAGGTGTGTGTTTGCCATGTCTGCCTTCGCATCAAAGGGGAACAGATTGTGCAGACTCTGAGCCCTGGTGATGCAGGCAGACTCATAAGAGGCAGGGAGGAAATCTGATACTTCCACCCCAAGCTGTAGTTTGTGGTTGTGCTGCTGCTGGGCTGCCCAATCCCTCTCTGGTTTAGAGGCTGGAGTTTGCTTGCAGTGTGCACCTCTGGGCTCTGCTTCCACCTGCGTCCAGAAGCCTTTGCAAGCAGTCCCTGTACTGCAGAGCAGAGGGTGCTCTTGGGTTTTTTTGTTTTTTGTTTTACCTTTTGCAGATTAATAGAGTCTGGTTTCCTGTCATGTTTTTGCATTTTCCTTCTCCGCCCCTCCCAGCCTGTGACACACTTTTTCTTACTTTCTGTCTTGCCACTTGCTCATTCTGACACTGGTGCACTTGCATCCTGTATTCCAGAGCCCTCTTCTCCCTAGACTCTTGGCTATCTGCAGGGCTCTGGCCCTTGCCATTCCCTTCCCTCCCAGCAGATGCAGAGCAAGGTTCACCTCTCTAGGGCTCCTGCAGAGGGATACTTACAAGTGCATGGAGATGACCTAGTGAATTTCACCCAGCAGCAGGACAGCAAGTGAGCCTGGTCACTCATGAGCACCCAAGGTAAGAAAAACAACCGCCTGCCAGTCCAACTCCACACCATTGTTGGCTTGGTTCTGATCACTGCAGCTTCCAATTTCACTCCTCCCCCCTCCGAGGAGACTTCTTTGATAGTCTTTCTGCTAGCTCCTTTCTCACCCTCAGCAGGTCTAGCTCCACTTTGCATGCACAGATATATGAAGCCCAGGTTGCATTCATAGGTGCAAGACATAGCAAAATATTTTGGGGAATCAGGAGGAAGAATTGGGGGGCAGGGAAGAGGGAAGGAGATTGATTGACCAGGGCTGGTGCTAGGGAAGTTTCTCTTCCCACCCACAGTACAGTCCATCCAGCCCCTTTCTGTAAAACTCGTTTGAGGATTTATGCTTCCTCTAAGTAATAAAACCACTTTGAATGTTTTTACAGCTGTACTTCTCATTTCTTCCACTCTGTTTTCTTTGACCCTGATATATCTTCTATTATCTTTTCTGCCATCTTTTAACGTCTATTTTCCATGCAGCATAATTTCTTTATTGTATGACAGCTGTTCCTATTTTTCCTTTCATCCTCCTCCATCACCTTCCTCTTTTTTTAGCCTGTGCAGTGGGCTGTACCTCTTCCCCCAAGTTATTCATTTCTCTCCCCTCTCCCTCTATTATTTTGTTCTTCTCTGTCTTGTTCCCCTTTCCCATCTCTCTGTTCTCCCCTCCTCTAGTCTCTCTCCACTTCCTCTCCCCAAAATCTCTCTCACACATAGGGCTGCCTGCTCTTGCTTTACCCCAAAATTACCCTTCCATACACATGCTGTCTCCCTTTGCACATGTCCACACTTGGAAGATTTGTTTCAAAAGCTCCCCAGCCCCCCTAAAATCCCCTCATCTCTCTCTCAATCACACACACACCTATGCAGGTTTCTTCAATCTCTCTCACTAATACACAACAAACAGCCTCCCCCTTCCCCACACTGACTGTCTGTCACACACACAGCCTCCTTGCATCTCCCTTTATACGCACATCGCTTCTTCTCCATGCACATTTGCACATATATACGGCTCCTCTGAAAAGGAGCCATTCTCTCCTGCTGCAAGTGTTCTCCTCTTCCAACCGTTTCTCTCTCTTCCCACCCCTCCCAGTTTTCCCCTCCCCTGGCTCCCCACCCCAGCCCTTCCCCCATTTATCCCTGTCTCCCCCAGGTTTCTTCCTGCTTCCCCCATGTTCCTATTTCCTCTTCTCCCCCAGTTTTTCTTTGTCAGTTTCTTCCCTTTAGCTCCTGGTGCTGCCATACTGGACCGGAGCCCACCTGGGGGATCCAGTTCTCTGCTGCCTCCCTGCCTTTGCATCCCCCAGTGGTGCCTGCAGGAAATTTGGAGGAAGTGCTGATATCTGTGCTTTCCCTTTCCATTGCAGGCTGTAGGAGCAAAGCAGTGGGAGTGGGGGTGGGCAGAGAAAGGGAATGGTTTGGTCCAAAATGTCCTTGGAGAATGGTAAAGAATCACAGAATGAGATATGTGCTTCAAAAGCTGAACAAGGAACTTAATTGAAATAGAAAAAACAATTACGCTCTTCCCTCTGCCTGACTGCAGAGCGTCTGCTCAGGACCTTCTGAGCCTTGAGGAGGAGGTTGTCCTGTTGATTCTCTTGGATTATCAAATCCCAAAGATGTAAACTCCGATTAGTGTGTGTCCGTCCATTAAGACTATGGTGTGATTGCTACCAGAACCTCACAACAATTCAGCAGGGGTTAGAAACAGTTAAGAGGCTACGTATTTCTTCTGTACCGAGAATTTTGAGTTGTCTCAAACATGTAGGATATTGGGTAATAAGGTGATATTGTGTCCTGGTTTAAGTTTGGATACATTTTGGACTGGATTGTGACACTTAAAGGAAGGCCTGAGACTTCTTAGATTTGACATCTCTCAGCCTCACATCCTTAAACCAGGGCCATTTAAGATGAAGATTTACTTCCAGGGCTGGCAGTGTTGTTCTGATTTCAGATTTCTCAGCATAAAGCTAGGGAATTGCCCCGTATCCCAGCAGAACTAACGAGGGGTCTTTGTGTACTGGAATTCTTCTAGCAATCCGTCCTGCTCTTTAGATGGTCTTCCCCTTGTGGATGGGGGGTGGAGGGGAGAGGGAGGCAGGCCTGCAAATAGCGTGCTTGAAATGTGACTGCATCCCAAGAGTTTCAGGGCAATCTATGGCCTTTTGTCAGTGACCATTCCTTCCCGAATGCTGAAATAACAGCATTCTAATTTTTCTGTCACCTGTTGACTTGTAGGCCTATTGAGAAGTAGAATTTCTACAAGTCGAGAATATTATCACAGGCTCCCAGATAGTCGATTGCTTTTCTTCCCCCAGCTCTAGTGCTATTATTTCTCATGGACTGTTGGCTCGTTTTGTGGGCATGAAAAGTACTTTGAGTTAGGGGCAATGGGGGGTGATTAGTGCCTCCACAGTGAAAATATTGGGGGTGCGGATCTATCTTTCTGCCCCCCAATGTTTTCCACCCCCAATCTCATGCAGACAAGTGGGGGACCAGAAGGAGGGGCTGGAGTGGCCACCAAGGTGCACAAGATCAGGCTGGCCACCGGGGAGCAGGTAGGACTCCCCAGCTCAGCATGGGCCTATCTTTCAGACACTAGCCACTGTGGGTCCTGGAGATGCCGAGCATGGGGGAGGGGCAGGAACACATGCATCAGATGCTGGGGTGGGGGTCAGGACAGGGCACCAGCACCTGAGCAAGGCGGCAGGGGGCCAGTAGCTAAAAAGTGTGTGTGGGAGCTCAGGGGGCACTGGGCACCAACCACAGAGGAACGGCCGTAGGAACTACCAGGAAGCCTCTTCCCAGGTTGGAGCCAGCTCCCTGCCCTTCCCCAGTCTTAATAGGTCCCCTTGCTTCCCCTTCTATCCCTCCACTGTCCCATTCACAGGGCGCTTCTTTCCCCCCTCTCCCCCGCTTTCAGTTGCACCATTTTAGTCATTCTGCATGATTCCACCTTGCGTTTTAGGTTCTTTTGTGTGCTGGGCCACCATACCTGACATGTTGTGAGGCCCTGGTATGTCTCGTGTACCCTTTCATTATGTCATCCTGCAAGGACAGTGGGACTACAGTACAATTGCCATAGGTAATCAGACTTCCCGTTTCAGAGAGTTTCCCTCTTACTGCACCAAGTTGCAGGCTGGGACACCTGATAAGTAACTGGCCTTTGAAAATCTCCTCCCAGGACAACAATGTCTTGGCTGTTATTCAGTTCATGAGCTTACTTACAGTGGCTTCATTAATGACCAGGAGGGGTCTGAGACGTGCTCTTTGTCTTTGTAGCTAGTGGAAGTTTTGAATTGGCATGAACAACTTCTCTTAACCTCTAGGTTTACCCCAGTCTCCTCCAATATAGGTCTAAAGGTTAACGCCATTTTGCCTTCCCTTCCACTGGACTGAGAACAGTTACTCCAGAATGGAGAATCGGGACATCAGTCTTTGACTCCAAGACATTTTCATGTCGCTGTCTCAAGTAAGAGATGGCCCTGAACTAAGCGAATAACGAACCCTATAACTGGTGTGGAAACAGTACAGTCTTCATCCATGCACCTCTGTCAATTTATCACCATTTTGATTTGCACCAACTAAATTTGGACCCTTCATTGAACAAACTCTCTCAATGAATTTAACTTTAGTGACCAAGAGCTGTTGCCAGTTCAGAGCCAAGGGAAAGCAGCAGCAATTCGGACCACGTATGAAAATGAGGGTTTTAGACAGTTTTTCTCTGATTCTTCATTTTGCTCTTTAGGCAAATTATGACTCCCGTTAAAAAGCAAATAACAGTTTTTTAAACACTTAGGGCAGGTCTACACTTAACATGCTTCATCGGTGCAGCTGCACTGCGATAGCACTTGAATGAAGAAGTTCAATGCCGACGGGAGAGAGATCGCCGATTGGCACAGTTCATCTGCCTCCCCGAGAGGCGGTAGCGATATTGACAGAAGAAGCTCCTCCACTGGGGGTTAGGTTGATATACTAAGTTGCTCTGAGGCGACGTAGTTATACTGATGTAGATCTGTAGTGTAAACCAGACCTTATTTTCTCTGAATTATGTGTAAATTCATCCCCTTGGGAGCCTTGTGTTTTCTGGGACAAGCTTCCAAGGCATTATGTGAGATCTTCAAGAGTCTGCCAGCCCCCTCTGTAGACAATCTCCAATGCTGCAAAAACAGCAAACTTGTGGTATTTCCAGCGTACTGTTTATAATAAAAAACTATCTTGAATTTTTGCTTTAACAGACTTTTAGCACATTTTGAGCCCAATCCTGACTCTTTATGCAACCCAAACTCCTTGGGCGTGCAAGGAATGTAAGATCAAGTCCTTTATTGGTTTTAACATAAACCTTGGGCCAAATTCTCCATGGTTTTGCCAGTGCAACTCTGTTGATGTCAGTAGGATTGCCACAGTTTAACAGAGAGGAGAATTTCACCCCCAGAATTTAATGCTCTATGCTCCAATGTCAAGAGTTTTGATGAATTTATGAAAACACATCAGAAACTGACAAAAAGTGTTTCCATAAATCAAACAGTTACTAGAAAGATACTAGGGTCAGCTTTTAATAAAGTTCTCCATTTGACTTTTCCCTGGCAATCACCCCTGTTTGCCCTGCACTCCAATTGTAAACATTTGGTTTGATACATGCAGGAGCCTTCACAGATGACCACTTTCCAACTGGAAAACATTGACTATCAAAAGTCTGAACAAACTTGTAAATAATGGAGTGAGCAAGAACAAACTAACCCCATTTATAAAGGCTGCCTCAAGTCTATTTTTGCTCTGGTTCAAACTGGTGTGTGAAATGTGGACATTTCCTCTGGTTTTGGGCACTCCTGGTGGAGCCACAACCTTCACTAGGGTTGCATGGTCATAAATGAGAGTGGTAGTTGGCCCATTACATCTCTCTTAGTAAATAACATCCATGTTGATGTAAAAGTTGGGAGCACAGCAGTCAACACCATGGGACCTGATCTTTCACCTGAAATTA